TACCCTAACCCCCCCCCCCCCCAGAAAAAAAAAGAAAACACTCAACATTATTAGATAAGCACAAGCAATACCAAGAGATTTATATGAGATATGTGTGCTTACCTCCTTCGCAATGTTACCGAAGGCTTGAATGTATTTCTCTGCAAGTCTCAAACTCGCAGCCTGCAAATTGTACAATGGTGAAGCATAAGATCACATTTGGACGGCTAAAAAGACAATCCTGAACCCATGAATATGTATGACAATAAAACGATCTCAATCTGGCAAGTCCAAGAAGAGACGAAAATCTTTTTCTAGAGTGAATAAGAAAATTACTATGAGCATTAAGTAACCAAGCTAAGTTCATAAAACTCACCTCTACTCCCCCAGTTTCTTCGAGAGACTGATATAACATGGGAGAACGTCTAGCAGTTACTTGTGCTCTAGCGAGTATTGCTTCAGCCTCACCTGAAGAACATTAACAAAGGATAATATAAGAGTAAGCATAAGAAGTGGAGAAAACAGTTCCTCTGTCCTAACAGCTAAGGTGTGTAGAGGTAATTTTTTAAGAAATCATAGCATATCTGGCTTGTGTACATTTTGATCTTTTTTTGTGGGGTCCCTTTTTGGTGATGTCTCCTTGGTACATATGTTACATATGTATGTTTGATAAAAAATTTAAAGCTTATGTGATGAATGAGTGGCATTAGAACTCATAGTAAAAGGAGATATATATATACATATACTATTTTTGGTAATAAATATTCATATGTTATTATACAATAATCTATCAATTATGTAGCATAATATTGTGGACTCTATATTATCATTTAAGTATTAAAGTTTATATAAAAGAAAATGCAGAGTTCATAATTTGGTTTTTTCAAGAATATATTTCAAGAATGAAGCCAAAGACGATCATGGAGCCTCTCTTCACCAGCTCCAAACATCTTGTCAACTTTTTCACCGTCTCTGTAAAACTGAAACGTCGAAGTGTAACGGATGTTAAGAGTGGTTTCAGGGCACTCGTCGATATCTGCATAAACAAACTTGATCCTCTGGTAAATGTTGCTAAGCTTTTGGAACGCAGGAAAAAATTGGCTACAAACTTCACACCTACTCAGAAAAAAAAACATTCTCACTGAAGCATTTAATCAGACACTTTGTAAGCGTTACGAAAACAGGGACCAAACAAGTCATACCATGAAGCTCCGTAGATAATAACAGCCTGAAAATAACAAAATAAGATTATTAATTATATTTACGAAGAGTCGAGATTGGGGTCTTAACTTGTAGAAAATGTAATAGTTTTAGCCTGTAATTACCGGACATTTAGAAGATTTGATGTAGTCAAGAATTGTTAGGAGAGAGTAACTGTTTTCTTATAATGAAAGAATAAGAAAATGGAACTAAATATTCTGCTAATGAACCTAACTAACAAACGACACCAACTATTATTCTGAAGTAGACTAACAATGTGCTCGATTCACTTGGTCCATCTTTGCGGCTTCAAATCCCATCGGATTTCATTGTTGTTGATGTGGAGAGAGAGTTTTGAAGATTATCGTGGCTAAAGAAAAGAATACGGTGCTATAAATAGCCCGACTGAGAGAAGGCGAAAAGAATCTATCGTTGATGGAGGGTTGAATGATCGAAGAAACAAAACGCAGAAGAGGGGAGAAGAGGAAGCGAAGAGATCGAGTGGCAATAAGTTGAACCCTAACCTAGGTGATTTACCTATGCTGGGCCGGTTGGTTTTGGTCCTTAGCAGGCTCAATCTATTTAGACGGCCCTTTAACATTATACAGCTGGACGTGGCGCATGACGTGTCAAAATAGTGAAATATTGATTATATTCAAATCTTAATATTGTCTGATTTCATTCATAGGTAAGTTGTATGATTATTTGTTATAATTTGAGTGGTCCATAGTTTCATTTTTCATTTATTTAATTTGATTCTATAAAAAGAAATAAGCATAAACCAATTTATATCATTTGCCAAATAATCCAAATAATATTAAAATAAAAAATATATTCTTAAGTATATGACAAATTTATTGTGAAATATATCCAATAATAAAAAAATTAATTTGAAACATATGATTTAAAAATAAGTTTTCGGTTATTTTACATTTTTGATCATGCAAAATTTATTCATGTTCTACTAGTCTATCATTCTGAAAACAAATTAAAATTTGAATATATTTAAATATTTTTTATTGTAGGAAATATATCATCGTGTCATATATATATATATTAACTGAGAAGTTAGTTAATGGACTTTTATACACATGTCATTCATAAGTGGGTTGTTATGATTTGATTAGTCGATGATTTTTATTTTATATAATTCAATTCTAAAATAATAATAATTATAAACCAACTTATTTCAGTTGCCAAATAATCCAAAAAAATATTAGAATAAAATATATCCTTATGTTTATGATAAATTTATTGTTTAATTTAGTTTTTAAAAGGAAACTAATCCTAGAATTACCTAATCCGATATATATTTCCAAAATAATAATTAAAATCTTAAATATAGATGAAGTAACATAATTTGTTTATAAAATAATTAAATATACAATTATTTAAATTGATAATATACATATAAATAAATTATAAATACATATGATATTACATAAACAATTATATAAATGGTCTTAAATATATCCCCATATATAATAATTGAGATGTCCCTTAGATGACTTTTATACACATCTCATTCATAGGTAAGTTGTATGATTAATTGTTATAAATTCTTAATTAATCGTTAGTTTTTCATTTTCATATATTTGATTCTATAAAAAGAAATAATCATAAACCAACTTATATCATTTGTCAAATAATCCAAATAATTTAAAATAAAAATATATTCTGAAGTTTATGACAAATTTATTATGAAACATATCCGATAAAAAAAATTGATTTGAAACATATGATTTAAAAAGAAGCATTCGAATATTTTATATTTTTAATCTTTCCAAAATTTAGTCATGCTCTACCATTTTAAACACATAGTAAAATTTGAATATATTTAAAGAAAATTTATTTCAAAAATATAACCAGATTATAATTTTTTTTTGAAAATGACTAGATCCTACTATATATTTATTGAGAAATCACTTAATTATCTTTGGCTTATATGTCACTGATATGTGAAGTTTTAAAAAACTGTTATAATTCGACTGGTTGGTTACTTTTCTTAATTATATATTTTAATAGAGCTTTTTGCAAAATTGACTCAAAACTCAAAGTCAAACACAAAACTAACTTCTTCTTTTGACTCATCTAGTTTTTATCCTATTCACCCCACATCTTCATTTTATTTACGAAAATACCATTAATTTTTTTTCAAAAATGGCTTTTTTACTCTCTCAATCTCATCATCTTCAAGTATTTACAACATTGCCATTGCCATGAATACTCCCAAAAACCTTGTACAACCCAACAACCTTGTACAACCAAGATTTGAAGCTTTTAATGCACTTAATATCGATACTCATACTCTCTTTCTCAATTGTTATGAACTAAAAACAACATCTCGTTCACTTTGTCTCCATATTCATACCAAAAACCCTAGCTTTTGATAGCAAAATTTTATGGTTGATAGAGCCATTTAAGCATACAATTCTTGGTGGGTTACTTTCGTTTGATGTTCTGGGTAGTTGGAGAAGACTCTATGTGCAAAGAAAGTCATCTCACCTAGTTTAAGGTATGAAATTGATTTTTTTTTCCAAATTTGTTCTCGTGGAAGACTTACCCGTAAGTCATCTGGATGTAGAAGACTTACGAATAAGTCTTCTGTGGTCAAACGGACGACTTACTTCTAAGTCGTCCAGCTTTGTTTGTTAAAAAAAAACACCAGACGACTTATAATTAAGTCGTCTAGATAAACCGGGCTACTTTTGCATTTGACCAAATTGTGTTAGATATTTGACTTTTTCTGGACGACTTACAATTAAGTCGTCTCTGGGAAAGTTAAATTTTCAATATTTTATTTAATCTAGACGACTTACGGATAAGTCGTCTTAGGTTAGTTTTGTAATTCAAAAATAAAACTTAAATTTTTAACTTTTCCCAGACGACTTATGTTAAAGTCGTCCAGGATAAGCAAAGTCGTCCAGAATATTTTCCGAGTTTTCTGGTGAAACCTTGCTTATCCTGGACGACTTTAACATAAGTCGTTTAATCGGATGACTTTCAATTAAGTCGTCTGGGAGAAGTTAAAAATTTATGTTTTATTTTTGAATTGCAAAACTAACCTTAGACGACTTAATTATAAGTCGTCTAGATTTAATAAAATATTGATATTTTAACTTTCCTAGAGACGACTTAATTTTAAGTCGTCTAGAAAAAGTCAAATATCTGACACAATTCGGTCAAATGCAAAAGTAGCCCGGTTTATCTAGACGACTTGATTATAAGTCGTCTAGTGTTTTTTTTTTAACAAACAAAGCTGGACGACTTAGAATTAAGTCGTCCCATTTAAATTTCAATTGCAAAAATGACCTCAATGGACGACTTACGGGTAAGTCGTCCAGACGACTTACTGGTATGTCGTCTTCGTCAATGTTTAGTAAACTTTCACGAAATTCTCGATGTTTACTAATGTGTTTTATTTTGAATTTTTGCAGATGATTCGTCAGTTACATGCAGTGTATGGAGAATGGTTGTTGAAAGATTGCCGTTGGGATTTTGTGGTTGATGATCTCAAAGGAGCAAGATTTTTTTTATTGAATGAAGATTCAACACATGCTGAACTTGTTGCAATGACACAAGAAGATTATAACCTGACATAAGCACAATTATTGTGGAGATTAGATACTCATTACCAACAGAAATGATGATGGCTCCAGACACCCCTCCCATTCATGTTACAAGTGATAGACAAGTTCGTAACTTGCTCGAGATACTCAAAACTCATAGAGTATGTCTTTGTGTATCAAGCCGTAGCAAGGTGGAAACGGTTTCAGAGGAAAGGGAAGAAGCTGATGAATGGTTTGAAGATGATGAAGCTGATGAATGTTTTGAAGATGAAGGTGATAATGAGTTGGTTACAGATGAAAATCATGATGGGGAGGAGGATGCTGAAATCTCTATTTGCTCTAATGTTGCTGAAGCGGATGAGAATGGTGAGGATTATAGTGTTTATGGAAAGGTTAGAGATGAGGATGAGGAAGAAGATGATGATGTGGTTTTTAAAGATTACAAAGATACATATGCTATTGAAGGAGGACGATCGAATGGTAACAGTATCTATGTCAACCAGAGTTTTGTTAGCAAGGATGCACTGCTTTCAGAGCTGCGGTTGACAGCAGTGAGGCGTAAGTTCTCTTTCAGAATATACAAGTCAATGAAAACTCTCCTTGTGGCAACATGTCGGGTTAGTGGTTGTGGATGGAAGATAAGAGCGAGTGTGAAACATGGGACAAACACGTTTTGGATAACAAAATATGTGGAAACACATACATGCTCAGTGGGAGACCGAATCGCTCAGCGGAGACACTGTACTCCGAAGTATGTTGGTAGGCTTTTCATTGATCGTGGTTGAATCATTGATGGGTTGACTCCACAGCATATCAAAGATGCAATGAAGAACATGTTTGGCATGGAGCTTGATTACACCACTTCATAAATGGCACTGTTATATGCACAAACATTGGTGAGAGGAACAGCAGAAGATGGGTATTCACATCTGCCATCATATCTCGAGCAAATCTCCTTAGCAAATCCCGATTCTGTCACGGCTATAGAACTTGATTCTATGAAGAGATTTAAGTATCTATTTCTCTCTTTTGGAGCTGCTATCAAAGGTTTTAAGTATCAGAGAAGGGTCATTGTGGTGGATGGGACTCACCTAAGTGGGAAGTATGAGGGTACTATGTTGGTTGCAGCCGCACAAGATGAGAATTTTTAGATATTTCCATTGGCTTTTGGGATCGTAGATGATGAAGATGACCCTTCTTGGGAATGTTTTTTCAAAAAATTGGCTACTTGTATATCTGATGACCAGCCTCAGGTGATAGTCTCCGACCGGCATACGGCCATTAAAAGTGCGTGTGATAAGTTGTTTCCTTGGGCAGTGAGAGGAATATGTTATTATCACCTTCAAGATAACATTGTCAAAAAGTATAAAGGGAAACATCTCTTGTACTTGGTGAAAGGTGCTGCTTATGCTCATACGGTTTCAGATGTTAACCGGTACATGGCTGAGATAAATAGTGCAAACCCAGACCTTGCAACGTATTTGGTGAATGCCGACGTCAGCCTATGGACAAGGGTTTATTGTCAGGGGGACAGGTACAACATAAAAACAAGCAACATCGCTAAATCTATTAATTCTACACTGAAGCGAGCTAGAGGATTTCCGATTAAGTTTCTGCTGGAGTTCATAAGGGAGAAACTAGGAAAGTGGTATTGGAAAAGGAGAGAAGATGCTTTGAGTCTCCCAACTCAACATAGTCGGGGTGTTGAATACTTTCTTGATTTTCGAGAGGAGATAGCGGATACGATGAGGGCCCAACCAATTGATGGTTGGTGATTCTTTGTGAATGGTGGCAAAATGGACTGTGTGGTTGATTTGGAACATGGAAAGTGTGATTGTGGTGTCTACCAAGTGGAGAAAATACCTTGTTCTCATGCTATAGCTTCTGGTACATTTGCGCGTTTGCATATATCCACACTTGTACATCCAGTGTACTCAAAGGAGTATTTGTTTGAAGGGCACTCAAAGATCATATTTCCTTGTGCTGGACAACAAGTTGAGGAACGCACATGCTTCCCTCCGGAGGTAAAGCGTGGTCCAGGGAGACAGAAGAAATCAAGATGGCAATCTTGGTTAGAGCTATCCAGGATGAAAGGACGCAAACCCCGGAAGCAACACATGGTTTAAAGATGCTCAAACTGCAAGGAATCTGGCCATACGAAACCACAATGTAAGAAACCGGTTGATTAGTCGTCCAGACGACCTAGAATTTAGTCGTCTATTGTTGTTTACTCGTTCAGACGACCTATAATTAAGTCGTCTAGTGTTGTTAAGTCATCCACTGTTACTTAGTCGTCTGGACGACTTAAATTTAAGTCGTCTATTGTTGTTTACTCGTTCAGACGACCTATAATTAAGTCGTCTAATGTTGTTAAGTCGTCCACTGTTACCTAGTCATCTGGACGACTTAAATTTAAGTCGTCTAGTGTTGGTTAGTCGTCTAGAATACCTATAATTAAGTCGTCTAGTGTTGTTAAGTCGTCCACTGTTACCTAGTCGTCTGGACGACTTAAATTTAAGTCATCTAGTGTTGGTTAGTCGTCCAGACGACCTATAATTAAGTCTTCTAGTGTTGTTAAGTCGTCCACTGTTACCTAGTCTTTTGGACGACTTAAAGTTAAGTCGTCTAATGTTGATTAGTCGTCCAGACGACCTACAATTATGCCGTCTAGTGTTTAGGCTATGTATTAACTTCTTTGTCAGATTGCACAACCAAAAGATTATAAGACGACTTAATTTTAAAAGGTTAATATACAGAAAGATAAGTTGTCCATCATACAAACATAAAAGGTTAATATACAGAAAGATAAGTTGTCCATCATACAAACACATCATCAAGTTCAAATACAAGCATCAGCCTAATCTATACAAAATCATACAAGCCCACGAACTTATCAACATCCACGTTTTCTTTCAAATGCTGGTCAGGAAGCTCCGTAAATATATCGATTGCCATCTTATCCCTCATTTGCTTCGCGTTGGACCTAGCAAAATGATGTTTAGAAAAGGGGACCCCAAGAGCATGACATTCGATGTACTTTAGAGCATACACGCCACAATCACCACTATTGGCCGTGGGTATTTCCTTAATTCTCTCAAATGTGTATGGCCCCAACCCGTATTTGACCCGTATTTCATCGCTGGTAGCGCACTAGGTTAGCGTACAAGGGAGCATCTCGCAAAAAGGCTTCATTATCTCTTCGAGTCTTTCTTGGGACGTACTGGAAGGTATGCTGTCCCAGACGACTATGTGCTTCTTAGGGATCGATATCCAGATAGCAATCCAGTGAACGTTGTTCAAGTTCACTGGCGCGTAGATATCATCAATCTCCTCCCCCCAAGTCTTCATCGATTGGCAAAATGAAGGTATTGATCCGTCATAGTATGACCACGCCCCACCAGGGAGTCTTCTTCCTAAACCCCTCCAATCGCCCTTCGACTGGGCAAAATCATTGTATTGGGCTCTCCAAGTCTGAGAAAAGTTGTGATCAATGAAGCACATTCTCTCTCTCCTGAAAGCTTGTGGATTAGCCTGGTACCTCTGCCTCAGAACATTAATCCAAGCATCTATATGCTGCATATAAAATAATACAAGTCAGAAGATACCATAATACAAGCAGAAGATATCAGACGACTTAAATTTAAGTCGTCTGCGCAAACGACTTATCAGTAGGTCGTGTGGTAAGTCGTCTACAAAGTAGTCCACGTAGACGACTTACCAGACGACCTACTGATAAGTTATCTACGCAGACGACTTATCAGTAGGTCATCTGGTAAGTCGTTACAAAGTAGTCCACGTAGACGACTTACCAGACGACTTATCAGTAGGTCGTCTGGTATGTCGTCTACAAAGTCGTCTACGTGGACTACTTTGTAGACGACTTATCAGTAGGTCGTCTGGTAAATCGTTTCAAGTTATTGCAGAAGACTTACTACGTCTTCCAGCCATTCTAAGTTTTTCCGGAGGACAGAATACCACCTAGTTGGTGATCTATGCGGTTTATCCTCGAACTTTGTGAAATAATCCCTGAAAACACAAAGGCAATCAGTTTTGGTAGACTAAATCAAGCTATTATGGGTAAAGCAATCACTTACAGATCAGTTTTCAACCAGTCAACAAGTTCCTTCAACTTAGGCCTGTCTAGTGGGGGAAATGGATTATAGGCTGGACCTTTCTTTTTCTTTTCGATGATGGTCTTGGCCGTGCTGTTTGCCGTATAAGGAGATAGCTGTGTGGCAGCAAGTTTCTTTTCTCGTCCACTCTTTAAACGGTTAGTTGCAATAGAAGCCTCCAGCTTCTTTTTATATCGAGCATCTCGCCACTGTATGTCCGAAGCAGTGGCAGCTGTTTTTTCCAATAGAACAAGGCTCTGTTCAGAAGTTGGAACAACGCTCTGTTCTGAATGTGGAACAATGCTCGGTTCTGAAACTGGAGCCTCAACCGGTTCTGAAACTGGAGCCTCAACCGGTTTTGCAACTGGAGACTCACTCGGTTTTGCAACTTTTCCCTCCCTCGGTTTTGCAACTTTTTCGACCCTCGGTTCTTTATCTCTCTGTTTTCCAGCTTTTGCATCACTCGGTTTTGCAACTGGAGCCTCACTCGGTTTTGCAACTTTTCCGACCGTCGGTTCTTTATCTCTCTGTTTTCCACCTTCTGCATCACTCGGTTTTGCAACTTCTGCCACACTTTCACTCTGCAATATACAAGATCTAAATCAGTACATAGCACATTATAAACACTGGGCGACTTAAATTAAGTCGTCTAGACGACTAGTTATCTCTGGACGACTTACTTTTAAGTCGTCTGGACGACTAGTTGTTTCTGGACGACTTAATTTTAAGTCGTCTGGACGACCTTGTTGGGAGAGGATTTGTTACTAACCCCGGGTTCTTTGGGTTGAGTGTTATCCTGAGATGATGTCCCTGCTTTGGTAATACCAACCATCTTCTCCACAGCTTCCAGTCTCACGGACATCAACTTCATCTCCTTGGTGATACCAGCCATCCCCTTGAGGATCGTCCCAAATCCTTGAGTCATGTGGTCAAGCACGTCCTTGACCATACTTTGCAACTCTTCTTTGGTCACCCAACGACCACCCTCTCCACTAGCCTCTGCATGAACCTTTTCACGAGCCTCTTTAGGATCCTCTTTAGGAGCCTCTTTAGAATCCTCTTTACGAGCTTTCTTCAGAGGTCTTGGACTGTCTTCCTTCACCTCAACTATGTGTATCTTCGAAGGACTCATAACCGCCGGTTTTTTACTCTCCCTAGTACCGGTGACTTCCGAGCAACCCAAGGTCCACTTCCACGGTCTCTTCTCAAACATGAGTTTAATGATGTTGTCCGCGGCCAGGTCCTCAATATCAGAGTCCCATTTTGGCCACATATCACCAATGTCCTTCTCAACAAAGTTGATCACGCGGGTCTGCAGTAAATAGAAGATACGACCTTAGATATTTGACGGATTAAGAAAGAAAGAAAAGACTTCTCAGACGACTTATTATTAAGTCGTCTAGAAGGTCGTCTAGCTGGACGACTTACCGGACGACTTTAATTTAAGTCGTCTGAGAAGTCTTATAAGTGGACGACTTAGTAGAGACTCTACTAAGTCGTCCACTTATAAGAATTTCCAGATGACTTAAATTAAAGTCGTCCGGTAAGTCGTTCAGCTAGACGACTTAATTATAAGTTGTCTGAGAAGTCTTTTCTTTTGGATTGAAGTACATACCTGTCTACAGATAGCTTCTTTAAATAATATGCGTCCTTTGCCACCCTTGTAAGCCAGTATCGGTGGAGACGGACTGTTTGGTCTGGGACCACCATAAGTAGCACCCAATTCCGGTAGAGCTGTGTACACCCAGACCTGAAGAACTTGTATAAACCCATCCACAGTGTAACAACCACTAATATCTTTGTTCCTCAAAGAGTCCATCAGCACATTAAACGCGACTCTCCCCCATGGATAATTCTCAAACCGTTCTAAATCCATCACTAGCCTTGCCAGACTAGCTCGTGTAGGGGTAGAATACTTTCTCCCTTCAATAAATCCAGTGAAGATTGAAAGGTACGCGAGCCGCTTACGATCTTCCGGAGACCACTCCTTGCAACTCTCCAATGCTGTTTTTATCTGGTCAGTCGTTGGCCCAGCTTCCCCCAAATAGAAACCAACTCTTTTGTACTTCACATTTTGGTCTCTCAAGATCCTCGATGTACTCGCAGTTAAGACCAGTGAGGTTTTCAAACTCTAACAGTGAAAACCTCAGAGGTTCTGGACCAACGAGACACCACAGCTCATACTTCTTCTTTATATCCAGCTGGTAACTGAGCATGTAGTGAACCAGCCTTGAAGCCCAACCAAATCCCATCTCTTTGAACATGATGAAAACACCCAACTTCGACTCCTTCAGCTCTGCATATTCCTCATCCGTAAGAGCATCCTTAAGAGCAGTATGCAACTTGGTATTATCCGAATGATACGAAATGCTATTATGGGCGTCCGGCTCTTCCCCTGATGTATATAACCTACGGGGGAGTTCTGGAATATCCATCCTTTTTGTCTGCAAAATAATCAAAAATAACGATAGAGATAAGCAAAACAAGCTAAATCTAACAAAGCTTTCAACTTTCATTAGCGGGAACTCACATAGAAGTCAAAACACAAGTTAAATCAATCACGCTTTAATTGTAACTCTGGACGACTTAAAATTAAGTCGTCAGGAAAGTCTTCCAATTGGACGACTTAGCAGATGACTTCTAATTAAATCGCCTGGAAAGTCGTCCAGCTGGAAGACTTATAATTAAGTCGTCTACTAAGTCGTCCAGTTGGAAGACTTTCCAGACGACTAAATTATAAGTCGTCCAGTATAACATTTTAAAGCGGACCTGTTTAGACGGAGAAGAAGTAGTCCCGTCGACATAGCGGTTATAGTTCTGAAAAAATAAACGTGAAAAAGAAGCTCGGTGAGAACGAGTATAAAAATTGTTAGAGACAACGTTTATGTTCATCTTTTCCTCAATCAATCCCTCGACAGTAAGATATATCACTTACCGGCGTTAGGGTTTAAGCGGCGGTGAGAGAAATGGCTTTTAATATTCTGAATTTCGAGAAAAAATGACAACGAGAATAAAAATGGTTAGAGACAACGTTTATGTTCATCTTTTCCTCAATCAATCCCTCGACAATAAAAGATATGACTTACCGGCGTTAGAGTTTACAGAGAAACGGCGCTAGGGTTTAAAGGAAGCGGCGGTGAGAGCGTTGATGAGCACGGTGGTGAGAACGATGATGGGATAGATAACCAGCGGTGAGACAATGGTTTGCTCGGAAATCGCCTTTAAGAGAAACGGTTGGAATTCTGAATTTCGCGAAAAAATGAACAAAAAAAAAACAAACACCTTATATATCGGGTAAATAAACCGTCGGGTAAATAAACCGGCTAGGTTAAAAAGTACATTGGTAAAATTAAAGGTTCGGTCCGGTTTGGACGACTTACTAGTAAGTCGTCTGTCGGATAATGTACATCGGACGACTTAATATTTAGTCGTCTGTATATAGACGACTTATAATTAACTCGTCTGACAAATCTTCCGGCTGGATGACTTTCCAGACGACTTAAATATTAGTCGTCTACTAAGTCGTCCAGGCTTTATGAGTATGTTTTAAGAATTTGTGTTAGAATTTGTGTTAGACTTCTTAGACGACTAATAATTAAGTCGTCTGACAAATCTTCCGGTTGGATGACTTTCCAGACGACTTAATTATAAGTCTTCTATATACAGACGACTAAATATTAAGTCGTCCGATGTACATTATCCGACAGACGACTAACTATAATAGTTGATCTTCCATTACAAGTCAAAGGCTTAAAAACATTTTGAAACAAGGGAACAACAACATAGAAGTCATCCATTACAAGTCCACTAGAAGCACATTACAATAAGACAATAGCAAGACAAACAACATCTCATTTAGGAAGAGACGAGAAAGTTGAGGCACCATCCGCAGCATCATCCACTTGAGGAGGACCGAAAGGAGTCACATGAAATACCATGTCTCCTTCCTTTTTGAACCCGACATGTCACCGATGCAAAGGGAGTGTGCTTGGGCGAAGGCTTTCCAACCATCGGTGAGTGTTCTTGCTTCTTGTATAACTTTCCAAGTTTGGTGTGAAGCGTCCGATCGTAGTGTCCATTTTCCTTGGTTCGGCTTGCCTTCTATGTGTTTTGAGTAGAAGGCAAGTGGTATTGTCTACAAGTCAACAAAGGAGAAGTTAAGCAAAGGAAATAATCTACAAGTCAACAAAGGAGAAGTTAAGCAAAGGAAATAAACAGAGGAGAAATAGAGAGCGACGCCACTGCAGAAACCAGGAAGCAGAGGCTTCAAGAAGTGAGGTTCATGCTGATTCGCCATCTGCAAACAACAAATGAAATGAAAACATTTTAATTCTAAGTCTGGAAGACTTATATTAAGTCGTCTGGATAGTCCACCTAGAAGACTTTCCAGACGACTTATATTAAGTCGTCTAGGTCATCCACCTGGAAGAATTTCCAGACGACTGTGAGAACCGAAATCCACACTGTCGATTTTCCGTCAAATATGGAAACTTAGGATGAAACCCTAATTTTCCCGAGGTCCTGGATCTCTGCGGAAATCACTAAAACAAACGAATTTAAAGAATATGGATGACCAATGAAGAACAGAGAAATAAGAACTTGTATGAAAGCTTTTATTAAATGAAGAATCGACAACTATTACAAGAAGAATTGAAGAACTTAGACGTCGAAATGTTCTAAGGATCTAGATTGCTATTCTAAACGCTAAGTTCTAAATTCCTAAGCTAGCAGCCGTCTTTTTTAGTCTGATTATCGTCCTCGTCTTCTGCCCTACGCCTCTGGTTTATACACTCCTTGCCTTGGCGGTTCGATCTTTCCATTTCGCCCGGATTTGAGTATATCGGGAATCTTCCATTTTTCTCAATCCTTCCTTTTCTTCCGCGGAAATCTTCTATTTATTTTCAAACCTGCCTTTTATCTTCAAGCTTGACATTTATTTTCCTTCTGCGAGTAAACCTTCAAAACGTTATAGTATCTTCGGGTTAGATTCCGTCAAGATCGCGAGACGGGCTTTTTATCGCGTTTTAGGACCTTCCGGGCCGTTTTGCGATAAATCCGTTTTGCAACTTTGTACGAGATCGTTTCTTGATCCGATGCCGTTTTTAGTAAATTCTCCAAGTTAATCGTAAAGTTTTAGCTACATTTGTTTTCCTCGGTTAATCGTTGCCGTTTTTACGATTTACTCGACGTTTTTATTAAAAATGCGTTTTTTACGATTTTTACGAAAAATCTCGAATAAATCATATAGTTCAGGCAATATTCGGTGTTTCGTTTAACCGTTGCCGTTTTATACGATTTCCTCGAGTTCTTTTGTAGAAAACAAAGTTTTACAGTTTTTATCGTAAAACTCGAATGATAGGACGGATCGAGACGAAACGGGAGACATTTCGGCCGTGGTTCGGAACGCGATCGTGTCGAAGGACGTAAGTTTTGAATCGGGGATGCGGGAGATCGAGGCGCAGGATATCCGGGAAGTCTCTAGTTCGCCCACCGGCGAACTAAGCCAGCTTGGCTTAGTTCGCCGGTGGGCGAACTAGTCGGGCTTAGTTCGCCGGTGGGCGAACTAGTCGTGACTAGTTCGCGTTTTACGGCTGTTTCGGTTTTTTGCAGTTTCGTAAAATGATATTCGAGTTTTATAAAACGATTCTCGAGTTTTATAAAATGATTCTCGAGTTTTATAAAACGATCTTCGAGTTTTATACAACGATTCTTCGAGTTTTATAAAACGATTCTCGAGCTTTATAAAACGATTCTTCGAGTTTTATAAAACGATTCTCGAGTTTTATAAAACGATCTTCGGGTTTTATAAAACGATCGTCGAGTTTTATAAAACGATTCTCGAGTTTTATAAAACGATTCTCAAGTTTTATAAAACGATCTTCGAGTTTTATAAAACGATCGTCGAGTTTTATAAAACGATTCTCGAGTTTTATAAAACGATTCTCAAGT